TGCAGATTTCAAAAGGCATAACAAGTCAATATCTGCCTGTTACAGAGAGAAAAACTGAGGCACACGGGTTCAGTGACTTGCTCAAGATCACACAAGTGTGTGGCAGAGCCAAAAATAGACTTCAGGTATCCAGATTTCCAGTCCAGCATGATCCAGTGATTCAAGGGTGCTTATGAAACACAGAGGGTAAAGTAACATAGTGTGTCAATGGCAGAACCAGGGGCAGAGTCCAGGACTCTTATGTACCAAACTACTAAACTCTAAATCACCCTCCCTTTTGGCATCCACGAGGCAGAAAGAAAGATGGAATTATCAGCAGCCACAATTCAAAATTCAAACCATGAAAACCAGCAAAATGTTACTTTGTCTAATATATAAAAATAAAACAGCAGTGCATAAACAGAGAAGGGTTCTTGTTTAAGAAAACAAGTTCTGAAAATTAAAATAATTTGTAATATGCTGTCCTTTTGTAAGAAGTGTGTACGTACTGCGCGTAGAAAAAAATCACTCGTTTACTTCCTGGCTTGGAAATGGGCTCAATAAACACAGGTTTGCTTTCCAATTGGGCAGCCTCTTGGCCATATTTAATAATGCTCACCACAGGCCTCTTGGCTTGTAGAGACAGGTAAGCTGTTTTCCTTCAGAACAAAACAAATCTTGGTTCTTTGCATTCGCTAATAGTTTTGGTCTTTAATTATGACCATTCTTGATGCTATGATTCATAAGGTAGTGTTTGTTTTTCCCCTGAAATGAAAATTAATTAGATGGAGAGGCTAAAAGAAGCAGAAATTAGGCTAATTTTTGAAGACTACTGTAGCATGTTGGGTTATTAATAAATTCATAGATCCATCTGAGTATAGCTCACCAAATCAATTCCCTGCCATTTCAAAGGCCATGCGGGCACTGGTGCACCTCAGTCGCTTCTATTCTCTGCTTGTTGCACACAATAGTTTAGTCTCCTTAGGGCTGTAATATTTTCATCTAATCTGGGTTATTGGGCTCAGTACAAGGATAACTGCTGGGTGGGGTTTAATGTCCTATAATATGCAGGAGGTGATCTCGTTGTCCCATCTGGACTTAAACTCTAAGATTCTGTGATTTTTATGTATGCAAGGAGAGCTGGTAAAATTATTAGCCCTTTTTTCTCTTCGTCTACAAACAGTTCATAGCTCTTACAAACTTGTTTGCTATTCAGAGTTTTTTGCCGAGTGGATCATGAACAAATTTCAGCCTACACACTACTGTGAACTGCCTGCAGTGAGTACTGTATTTATTCAGCTCTTCAGAATTATGCACTTGCTAGCGAGTTGCGTGATTGCACAGTTATATGGGTAAATCCTGACATATCCAGATGAGAATATGCTCTTATTACAATGGGTAGTCTTGTTAAATTGGGCGTAACCCAAGGCTGACGTGGTCTAGCTATCTACAGGACACAGATGGTGTAGCTAACTACACTATTTAGCCTTCCTGAATTACCTCAGCCTAGAATAGAAGCATCACAAGGGAAGATAAGTAATTTCATACTAGTTCAACTCTGGCCTAATTCTAAGCAAGTAAACAACACTGCCATACTGTACCACAACGCACTAGGCTTCTGATATGAGCTAAAATAATAAATGCATAAGTACAAAAACATTATAAATAAAATAGTAATAATAATACTGCAGTGCCACACAAAAGTCCCAGGCATTGGGTAGGACCTCATTGTGCTAGGCGCCATCCAAACACAGAACAAAAAGATGGTCCATGCCCCAAAGAGCTTACAACAAAATACATTTATGTAGCACTTTCTTACTCATTCACTACTCAATCACTCACTCATTATTATTTGTATTAGAGTAATGTGTAGAAGCTTCAACCAAGAGGGGGCCCCATTGTTTTAAGCTCTGTACAGACATGCAATAAACAATTACTCCTTCTCCATAGCGTTTACCATCTTAGGTCCAATCATACAGACAGTTATGCATGTGGTTAACTTTAAGCATATAAACAGTCTTATATACATAAGTATGAGCAGGATTGGGGCTTAGTTAAAGACAAGACAGGAAGGTGAAACAAGGCAGTGGAGAAAAGGGATAATAGTAACAGGACCATGTTTTGACATGGATTAGTTGTGTGCACATTTTATAAGTATACAGCATTTATTGTTTGTTGATGGACAGAAATAAGCAAATCAACTTGGCAGCTGCCTAGCCATTATCATGAAATTAGTCCATCTTCAAAGCACTTTACAAATATTAATTAATATTTGTAAACACCCTATGAGATTGGTAAGTAAATATCGACTGCTTATAGATTGAGAAACTGAGAGAGATAAAGAGAGATGAAAAGATTTGCTTAAGGTTACACAGTGAGACAGTGACAGATCTAGCCTTAGAATTCAAGACTTCCTGACTCCCAGCTCTCTGTTAAGTCACTAAACCACACCTCTTTCTCAGCAGTGTCTTAACTTTCTCTTCTCTAACTCCCTCCTCATTTCCTTCCAGTTCGATTTCTGCCCACTCAACTCCACTGAAATCTCCCTGGCAAAAACTCTAATTATATCTTCCTTCCCAGATGTAAAGGTCTTGTCTCCATGTTCATTCTCTGTCTTTCCACTGCCTTTGCCACTATAAACCTAACCACTTCTCCCTGAGACAGTGTGTTCCTTGAGGGTTCTGTGACACTAGCTTTGCTGATCGCTCCTTTAGCATTTCCTTCAGTAGATACTCTTCCTTCTCCTCTTCCAGGTTTTTGCTCCCCATGGTTCTGTCCTTGGCCAGTGTATTTCAATATTAGTAATCAACTGTAATGCATAATATATTGTTTAAGTTGATATATCAGAGCATAATTAAATGATTTATTAATTAAACTGAACTTCCTGACCAAACACACAGAAGACTGAATTCAACAACATGAATTAGTGAGTGAAACACTCAAAACACTTTCCTTTTTGAGATTCAGAGTGTTGCACCAAGCAAACCAATTGTGAAACAATTGAATCCATTTCAACCCGGACTTAGAATGGTTTGTACAGCCTCACGTGATATTGGGCAAGTCACTTAATTCCTCTGAACCTCAATTTCCCTACCTACAGCATAGGTATAATGCCTAGCTCAAAAGCATGTTGTGAAGCTTAGAATAGTAATATTTGCAAAGTGCTCTGAGGTTCTTGGGTAATGGTGCTATAGAAGCAC